ATTTTTCTCTTTTTTATTTTAACTTAACTTTTAAATGAATTTCATTTTTCTTTTCCTTCCAAAATGATACGCTGATAATGATTGTTTATTTTATTTTATCACATGAATCTATAATCCCGGGGACAAATGCTTATAAATAGAAACTCTGTTCAAAATTGGGGGGGGGTGGGGGGAAATTTTTTTTCCCTTTTCCTCGTCCTTGGACAGTGTATAAGCTACTAAAAAAATGTTAGACACTTGGAGTCGGTATTTTAGGGTCGTTTGCCCAAAAAAAATTTCATAAAATAGTGCATCAAACAAACGGGGGGGAAATTTATGGGATTAAAAAATTTTCTGATTATAAAGAAAAAATGTCTTTTGGGGGGATCAATACCTTTTTGTTTCAAACGACATGCCTGTCCTTTCCCACTCTTAAAAAAAAGTAAAAAATTTCCTTTTTGATTGGGTTTTTTTTTTTGGTTTTTTTTTTTTTAAGAAATAGCAAGAAAATTTTCCCCTTAAGTGGGGAAATTTGGGGTGCTTTTCCCCAAAATGTAGCCCTAAAATACACTACCCCGAGAGTGAAATTGACCTTTGAAAATCATAGACAACACTCGGGGGGACAGATCGGGCCCCCTTAAATCGGGTTACCCCCAAGTGTTGTGTATTAAAAAATAACTTAAACAAAAATCAGTATTTTTCTAATCCTTTAAATTACTTTAAATCCGGACAAGCAGCAGGTGATATGAAGACATGAATTAAAGAATTCAATGATTATTTTCCTCCTCTGATTGGACATACATGTTATAATACTGGCATGTTTGTTACGGCATTTTTTCATTGGGGATAATCCTGACGTTTTATATATTTTAATACACGGCTGCTGACGATTCATGAAGAAATCTTACCTTTTTCTCTAAAAATATGTTTGCTGTATTATAAAGCGTTATAAAGATCGGTTGACAAGTTATAATGGGCCGTATATAAAGGGCTGTTTGCAATATAACCCTCGCCAACGGCTCGGGTTATATTTACAAAATAGCCGTTATATAGGGGCATATAACCCTTTCAACGATCCTTATAACTAAGAAAATAAAGAGGCCGTAAACATTAACATATGCATAAATGTTTGACAAACATAAGTGTTTTTAAGTGTTTCATAATAACCAACTTGATCCATTCAAAGGTTTACATCATTGTTTAAAGTGTATAAATTTAAACAATTTTTTTTTAGTATGAAAGACATATTTTTTTTTTTTGGGCTTTATTTCATAACACAAGCCCGTGATTGTTCAAATCTTATCCATTCGTCGAAGTTGCTACGTATGTCCATTCTTTTATAAATAAAAACTAATTTTGGAATTTTGTATAAACTTTGCAATTTTTTTAAAAGGAGCGATTTAATCGTGATGTCCTTTTTATAAGAATATCGGGGGAGAAAAAAATACTGATATATGTTATATAAAAAAAAAAGAGCCGTTCATACAAAAACCAACATAGTGGTTGCAACCAGCATGGATTACCCGCTGCGTACGCGAGTTAATTTAGGGTACAGTTTCACTACTTTTAAAAGGTTAAAAGCAACAGCATGGATTTCAGACTCGTGGATGCGCAGCGGGGCTGATCCCTGTTGTCAAAACGCTTACGTTGGTTTTTCATGACGCGGCTCAAAACATCTTTTTAAATTTAATAAAATTTAAAACGGGAGTGTAAAAGTATTCTTATACAAAGTCACACTGGTAGATTATATCAGGAAAATCAAAGGTTTTTACACAACAATTTCTTTTACATATGAAATTAAATAACTGAATGAAATGTAAAAATTAACAAAACAGTCAAACATGTTTTTATGTGATTGATTTGTTCTTCTTTTTTTTTTTTTAACGAAATAAACATTTTGACTTTTTTTTATTTATTTAAAAGAAAAAAAAAATAAAAATAATTAAAATTACTGATAGTCCAATGTTTTAATAACATGTTGCGCCAATATGTTTCATTTAAAAACGGTTTAAAAACCCTGACTTGTTTGTTATGGTTAAGAAAGATTTTTATTTATTCATAGAACATTATATTTTTCAACATTAAAAAGTTGCTAAGAATTCAAACCTGTGTGTTTGTAAGGTGTTTTAAGTCGTACGCCGTGTACGTAAGAGCCCAGAAGGATTATTTAGCAATATAAATAAAAATTGCAACATCCTTGTAACAGGAATTTGCGTAAAAACTTATAGACAGTGTAAGAAACCAAACTGTACTTAAAAGAAAGAGAAAGATATGGTTGACCGTTGCACTATATCTATTATTTAGCAATTAAAGCGGCAAAATCTTTATATTTCTAGTTTACATCCTTAATCTACTGAGCATTTGTTGTCGTGTTTATGGATACTATAAGGGTAAAATCTAAAGTTATTCATTTTTTGTGCATAAACCAATTACTTGCCAGGATTATTAATTGTTTCGATATTTTCATGTGTCATTAGTGTTTCGAGTCTACATCTACAAAAAATATGGTTTAAAAAAACATCTATGTAAATTGCATATTAATGAGAAATGATATGAGCCGCATCACGACAAAACCAACATAATGGGTTTGCGACCAGCATGAAACCTGACCAGTCTGCGCTTTCGCGCAGTCTGATCAGGATCCATGCTGTTTGCTTACAAACCTTATTACAAGTAGATAAACTGATAGCGAACAGCGTGATTCCTGATCAGACTGCGCAGATGTGCAGGCTGGTCTGGATCCATGCTGGTCGCAAACCCATTATGTTGGTTTTGTCATAACACGGCTCATATTATGTTGTAGAAACAAAATTTAGTGGACAATTTTCGACATTTTTTATTTCTCTTGGAATATTAGTCTTCCTTCCTTTTTCTATTCAGATATGTTAAATTGACAGTCTAAATTTGGTTAAAAATATTCGGTAAGATTAGAAAATTGCTTGGTCATTTCAATATTAAATACATTGATGCAAAAGCTTAAAAATTTATACACCCATTGAGGATTTGTTTTAATAACAAATAAAAACCTTAAAATATTTAACAGTTTCCATCTTGTTCTTTAATTAAATTTCTTTTAAATTCATTATTATATTTATACGTGTGTTTTTTTTATATATTTTCAGAAGTTTAAGCATGGTCCTTTAATTCTACAAAAAACAAGACACAGTAAAATATTCCTGTCGCCTCTTTTTGAAAGAAAGACACTCCGTTGCTTCTTTCTATATCAGACCGGAACTAGCTCAAAAGTCTCAACATCGAAAAAAAATGATGAAAAAATCCAGTTAATCATTATCGGGGTTGTTCAAAAATAAAAATATAGAAAAACGAGAAAATTTTGTACCGCTGATGCTGGACTCGGGAAAAAATCATTTTCAAAAATATCTGGCTAACGTGTGGTTCAAGCTCATTGCCCGGATAAAGACTTTAAAGAATTTTTTTTAAAGATGATTAAACTGTATGAAGAATTGATTCTTTTTTCCCAGTCTATTTCGAGATTCGGGGCGATTTGTCCTATAGAGACCTATTTTAAAAAAATTTTTTCAAATTTGGGTCTTTAAGAAAAAGCTTTCCAAAATTCCCGTTTTAAAAAATTTTTAAGAATAAAAAATCCCTAATTATTCTTGATGGGTGGGGGAATGACCACCCCGACAAGAAAGTTACAAATCGCCCCGATCGATCCCCACAGAAAATTACCGAAAAAAAAAGTAAATACTGAAACCACGCGAACCCTGGGAAAATTTTGGGTTTTTATCTAAAAATTTATGTCAATTGGAAAAAGGGTAAACTAACACAACTAATGGAGCTCGGCGGCAACTTTAGAAGGATATTCAAAGATGGAATCTCACCCGAATAAAGATCATTAGATAGTGACTAACAGTTCTTTGAGGAAACACAGAGAAAAACCACGAAAATTGCTTTGGCCCTACTTTTATATATACAACCCGTTTTTTGGGGCAGGGTGTTCAAAAAGGGGATCAAAATGTGATCTTTATATAAATAAAGTCGAACTTCTTTAAACAGAACGATTAAGATCCAGTGAGCTTCCAAAATCACCCGGGCTTTTTTCCAGTGAATCCCAAGAATGCTTTTCGAATATGACAACTTACGAAAAACACTCACTCCTATGCATATAGGGAAATTTGCTATTATACATTTTTCAAAAAAAACAAAAGAAAAACGCTAGATTTGAGGATCAAGCAAGAAAATTATCGCGCAAAAGAATTAAAATTTACCCTTCACTCAGGAATGTTGCAGAAAGTACATTAAAACACCAGAAAAAAAATTTTTTGTAAAGTATCGTTCCACAAAACGTGCAAGAATTCTTGGCCTATTTATAAGTTTTCAAAAAGGGCCTCAAAAAACTGTTTGTAGAAAAATTACAAATGTTCAAGAATCCTGGACATGTCAAAAATTTTGAATTTTAAAGAAAAGAATGCTGACCTGGTGTTCAAATCAAAAAAAATTTATGTCTTTTAAATAAGACGAGAAAAAACCGGGTAAGAACTAGGGCAGGTACGATACTTTACTAGTCAAAATCCATTTTATACATACAGAAAAATTTTATGTCTGTTTACAAAAATGCCCGAAAATGAAAAATTCAAATTTTGTTTACAAATTTCTTCATTGAAAAGAAAACCGAGGTGCACAGTAAACAGTTACAACGTTTGTTAAAAAAAAAAAAACCCAAAATAAAAAAACTTTATATGAACACCAGGGAAACTTCCCGCAGTTACGGGGAAAATTTTATTTTTTTCTCTCTCACAATCTATATATACAGAAACTTTTTTATATTGGTGAAAAAAGGAGGCTCAGATAAAACGGATATTGTTCCCGTTACAGTCCGTTTCTTTTTCGTTGGTAAATGGACAAAAAGGTGAAGAAAATCTGAATGAAAAAATGGCGCATTCAAAAATTTCAAAATTTATTATAAGAAATTCAGTTTTCTCACAAAAAACTGGAAACAAATTTAATCTCCGGCAAAAAAATCAAGAAAAGTTTAAAAGTGGAGTTAACTGAAAGAACATGGCCGCCATGATTGTAAGAGATTGAACTTGGACTTGTCTCAACATTCAACTCTATCAAAGTTACACTTTCAGCATTTACCTGGGAGTCTACAATTAAATATATCAACACCGTCATTAGTTGATGTTACGTTGTGGAGAATCAATCTCGATGAAAGTTCATTGTTACTGTCACGTGACATGTTGAATATTGAACGTGTGGAGTTGAGGTATATAGAAATGTCTGCAGGAAGTTTACAGAACTTTATTATCGAGCTGGAAAATCTGCCGCAGTCAGTTACAGTAGAGATGTCCGCCATTAAACCGGAAACAGAATATGACCGTGTGAGAGAAAATATTCGGAGATCACAAACTTTTCATGTGATACCAGACGGGTGGCAGTTTTGAGTTCAAAACAATAAAACCAAGCAAAGAATAGACAAGAAAAAATATTGTGAAATAAACTAAATAAATTATTTCAATTATTTTAAATAATTAAAACAATTAAAATATGGACACTTAGAAACAAAATGGCGACTCTTCAAATTACACTATAGTCATCAATTAGGACATACATGTACATCCGTTTTCAATTAATAAATTCCGATACAAGTAAATATAGATGAAAAATAACTGATAGAAATAATTCATGGAAGTTTTTTACAACTTTTTTACGGATCTTAATGGATATAAAAGTTGGACAAGGATATGGAAATATTTCACAGGTAAGAGATTTTATATTGAATGTTTTATCTTTAATTATTATTTTATTATACATGCATATGTAAGAACTGAAATAGATTATTCACAGTGAACACGATTCTTATATTTTCTTTTAATCGAATAAAATATTTGATATAAATAAATCAACATTAATTAAATATTTTACATGATTTGTTTTTATTCTGGAATTAGATTATTTTTGTAATAAAAATGAAGCATTTTATAAACATTGACTATAAACAGACACACAATACATGACACGTGTTTATTAAATGGCACATCACCACCTCTACATTAATCATAGTTTGAACCAGCGCATACATGTATATAGTTATATTAAAGTGAATATATGTTAAACGTTTCGTAATTTTTACTCCGGAAAGGTTATTTGTTTATTGTTTTAGTAAGATGTTATTGTTATGTCATATATTTAAGGTACGTATTTGTAATTTTATGATAAAGTCTATTTGAGCCTCGTCACGACAAAACCAACATAATGGGTTTGCGACCAGCATGGATCCAGAGCACCCTGTGCATCTGCGCAGTCTGATCAGGATCCATGCCGTTCGCTATCAGTTTCTCTACTTATTATTAGGTTTGTAAGGATGCGCAGGCTGGTCAGGATCCATGCTGGTCGCAAACCCATTATGTTGGTTTTGTCGTGACGCGGCTCATTTATCCTCTAAATGTGAACCAAGCGTGTTCAATTACAGTCCTGGGGTCTAAATGTGGTCTCCCAAGGAGGTCAGTGAGTTTCTTTTTTTTTATTGTAAATAGATATAACTGTAAACATCTTCTTTAAAAACACAAGAAATAATGCATACAAATTTGGTATGAAACATTATCAAGTGTACCCCTACCAAGTTAATATAAGCATAGCCGTGGCGTAAAAAAGGCTGGGCTCCATGAGGGATTGGGTAATGGCTCATAGGTTTTTCCATATATTTTGCAATAGAAACTAGTGACTTCCATACCAGTCATTGAATTTCTTTTACAACCTGTAATTTCCATAGTTATCCCTTGTAAAGTTACCAGTGACTTACATAGCAACCATTTACTTTGCATAGCAACAATAGTATACAACAAGATACCTTTTGACTTTTCGTAGCAACCATTGTTTTTCCATAGCAACCTATGACTTCCACAGCAAGCATTTACTTTCAACTTAGCAACCAGTGACTTCCAAAGCAACCATTGAATTTGTGCACTATTTAAGATGCAGAAATAAACTCTGCTTTTCATTCATAATTCACAACATAAATCAACTGTTTTTGTCATTATGAGCCTTTATGATCATAATTTAACTTCATGTAGATATAAAATAGTAAGATAATGTTTTGAATAAATCCCCCATTAATAATATAATTTGCGGTTTTTATCATTTCAGCGGCATTGGATCATCATGCAAAACCTCTTGTGGCGTTTACCATTATGATTTGTGTGGTGAAAGATCAATTTTATTGGGATGATGAGATATGTTTTGAACAACTTTTTTGGAAACAAAAGTTTCATGTTTTTTGCATGTTAAGGTAAGACTTTAAATTACCTTTTTTATTAACAGGTCAATAAAATGATAATCCAAAATAAAGATTAAAGTGTAAAATCGGAAATGATCTCTATCAAAGTATGCAAATGTGACTATTTCGTGAATGAACGTTTTAACTTCTATCCGGGTCCCGCAAGCAAAGTATGTTCAGGACATCTGAAATGTAGTATAGTAAATGATATTACTTGTTTAAGACAGATAGTTTATGGCAAATGCACGTAAAAGAAAATGATTAAAAGTGTTCGTATTTCTTGCAAAAAAAACCAACAATAGCCTGGATCGCAGTATTTAAGACGTGCTGAACGTTTCCTATATGCCTGCATTGAATTTTATTAGTAAACTAACTATTGTGGGCAGCCGACAAATTTCACGTTAACAGCGCGATTGTGTTTAAAGTAGCGCACCTTTAATTGACATCATTTTAAATGTATATATAGTATGATACAAATACGTCCAGCTAGGCAAGCTAAAAATTATTATGATGAATATGATTGAATTACTTGCTTTAAATATGTGCTTCTAACATGTTTATAATTTACTTTTTTAAAGATATTGAAAAATATTATTTACTGACTTTTGTATTCAATATAGTTGTATTTAAGTACTACAACAAAAGAAAAAATATAAACATTTTCTTTAAGTATCAGTATTGATTCATGTCAACAAAGATGTTCTTAATATAGTAAATGACTCTAAGGGTTTAAGTCAATACAGGACTGGAGCAGTACCTGTAGACGCTTGCAGAAATCGTGATCACAAAATAGACAAATATCTTTTTCCGTCGATTCTTACATTTTTCATTTATAATCATACTTAAAAAATGTATGAAAAGATGAATTAGACGAATTAAACATCATCTTTTGCATGAAACGGCAAGATTTTGGCATCCAATCGCATTGTCCGGTATATACCGGAATACTGTTTTTAGTGTGATGCTTCACAGTTAAATAGGCAATTTTAATGGTAATTTTCATGTTAAAAGAAGATATTAAATTAATAAATACTTGTTTTGTCGCAAAATGCACAAGAATTAATTGGGACAAGGACAATTGCAAATAAAATGGTTAAATCAACGTATGTTAATCTGGTTATGTTTAATAACAGGTCTGCTGCTGCATCCGATGTAAAACAAAAATATTATAAAGCGGCTTATGTATAGGTTAAAGTTTATAAGTACGTATTTACAAAATTAAATTGGTCAGGCGCGGCGCAGCCGTGCGACCAATTTAATTTTGTAAAAACGTACTAATAAATTTTAACCGACTTAGTGTTTTAAATTATTTTTCTAAGCAGTGGATTTTCTAAACTGATTAACAGTTTGCCGATTAACCAAAGTTAAAGTGTTACGATTCATTTAAAATACTGCAATTCTATTGTACACAAATAATTTCGAAAACTAAAGATTTTTGGAATCCAGAACTTGTTGATAAAATTTAGTGTTTTCATATTATTTACGAAACATTGGTTGTTCTACATAAAGTAACGTGAATGTCTACTACTCGAATCTAATTCACTCACATGAACTTCATCTGGCTGACAGAAGGTCCAAGGTTCTATCTGGATATCATCTCCTGCTTTAATACAATTATTCAATTAAATATGCTATCGGAAGGTCCCTTGTTCTATCTGGATATCATCTCCTGCTTTAATACAGTTATTCAATTAAATATGCTAACGGAAGGTCCGACGTTCTATCTGGATATCATCTCCTGTTTTAATACAGTTATTCAATTAAATATGCTAACGGAAGGTCCGTGTTTTATCCGCATTAACGCTAAGGATTAACGCTAAGGATTAACGGATTAACAGCTAAGTCTGCTGACGGAAAGTCCGTGGTTCTACTCGAATGTCCGCACGTACCTAAATATTTGTTTCAGTTCGCAGAAGGTAAGTTTATTTGCTCTGCCAAAATCTTAACACAAGATATCCAGTGACTGTTTATCTACTGTACCATAGGCAAACCAGAAGATAAAACGTCGGTGTTACTTTGAAAATATGAAACTAGTGTTAGAATAAAATCCTGCTATCTATACTGTTACAAAATGTTTTATTTTGACTATCTCATTTATCATTTGTTCCTCTCTTTTCAGAAAATGAGCTTCAGTAAAACTATAGTGACAATGATGACAACGCTTCTATGAGAATTAAATATAAAGGCTTGACATCTGGTTCCTGGCATAACAGAAACATACACGAAAGAAAATTGCTCTAAAATAGTTTCGTATAATATTCTGATTAATAGATTAACCCGAAACAGACTAGCAAACTGTTGCATTGTTTTACCATAAATGGTAATTTACGTGTAAAAAAAAATATTACCACCAAGGCTGCTGTCAAATATATTCCTGAGTTCCTTCAAAATATGTTTTGTGGATTACTGTCATACCGTTTGAAAACCTTTATTGATTTGAGAACATCTTATTGAATTAAAGTTTTGGTTTATCAAATAAGGGACATAAAGTATAGAGGGATAAGCAACTACCGACTGATGATGGCGTCCAGCTGACAGCCAATCTGCAATCATATATTTATGTCGCAATTGTTAAACAATATATTGACAAAATATTGTAAAGATCATTCAGATACTAAAGGTCGATACAATATTTCATATTTCGCCATTTGCTTTATACTTTTCTTATTTACACTAATTACAACGGACAAAAATATACCCGTTTACAACTACCAAAAAGACAAATCAACGAAAAGATAACGTAGCGCTAGTCTCTAGTTGCTTGTCCCATTATATTTTGTCCTAGATCTAATGAAAACGGACGTTACATATGTACTGTATTATAAGAGTTATAATCATTTTATTTAATTAGATATTCATGTATAAATTTCTCTAGCAGTTTAAGAGTAAACAGCAAGAATTATTAGACAAAAAGTAATTTATCATTAGATTATTGTTAAATCTGACAAAGCATATACTTATAGTCTTATAATTACATGTATTGAAATTTGTAATGTAGTTTGATTTTCCTCTTTTATATATTTTTTTTTTATTTTTTGAACAAACGATTTCAGCGTTGACATAAAGGGACTTTGAAAGGACGCTTCCTTCCAAAGGAAAATATTACAAATAGTTGCCTTTTTGTGATATAATTTTTTTTCAAATTTTTATATTTGTACATAATATAGATATATATTAATTGTAGTATTAGTTATAACGATTTTGTCATGTAGCACTCACGTTGTGTCCCAGGTTATACATTTTAAACTGTTTATATAGGGCATATAACCTGTCGAAAATCTTTTTAACTTAGTACGTTTTGAATATAACCCTTCAAAATATCCTTATGAGATCCTTGCACTCAAGAAAAAACAAATCATCATTTATTCTGCTTAGATGTGTTTATCGTAGAAGGTTTGTCTGTATACATTAAAGGCCCAGTAAGCTCCAATAAGCTAATTTCTCAAAAACTTTTCATTTTTGCCGTCACTTTTGGTTTTGCTTCTGTTTAATTACATTTATTTAGTATTTTGTATGGATGTCAACAAAACTATAGTGTTTACATTTTGCTTCCTTGCAATACGTATACGTAACTGTACATTCAAGTTTAGTTTCTTGTGTTTTTTAACATCTAAAATAGACTAGATCAATTATTATATATTATTGAACACATATTTGACCTGTCTAAAGAATAAAAAAAAGGATCTATTTCTGAGGCATTATGTGCCTTTAAGATACAAATTATTTCATTATCTCGTTGTTTTGCAAATCCATGTTCTAGTCTTTTTTGATGGTTTTGTTTAAAGGCCCATTAGGTTTTTTTTTAACAATTTTCTACACGTAAGACATACTACTGCATGTTCTGTATCATTTGTCACTTTTAAAACATCTCAAATGCAATAAATCCATATTTAAACATAATTATTAAACTCATGCATTACATTTCTATAGAGTGAAAGAAATATGGATTTCTGAGGCATCATATGCCTTTAAGTTGATTCAAGTTGATCTATATAGCTAGATGTATATATATACAATGTATATTACCGCCTTTAGTTTTGAGTTACTGTAATCTTATCTAATTTGTCAAATTATTATGTTAATATGTTGTATAAAGGGAACATAAAATTACATTAGTTTCGATATGTATATAGCTACAGTAGATTAAATCAGTTTAGTTTTTACAATGCATACATTTAGATAGCACAATAAGGAAACATTTACAATGATTGCAATAAGGCATTCTAGGCTCTACTTTAATGTATTATTTTTGTTGTTGTTGTTGTTTTCTTTTTAATTTTAAAGATGACTTAATGAAATTTCAGCAATATTGCTTTAACAAATGATGGAATTTTCACTCGTTACTATGACGTCAAATGTGACGTCATTTTATCATGCATGTTATTCAATACATGGAGAATATTCAAAATTTAGAATCTATAATCATATTATGTAAGCATCTGGCGAGCATGTTATTGCTTTAGTCAACGAGTTTAAAAAATTCTAGTATTGAATCAACACGAATATATAGAAAATACTCAAGTTTTGTTTCTATTAAAATACAGGATATATTTCCATCGAGTGATATGAACAATATTTCTCCAGTGGCAGAAGCTAACTGCAGTGACAATGCAGAAATGAAATTATGCATTTTATTTCATCACAGTTTCTTAATATTTCATTAATAAGGGAAGGTTTATTCTGTAATCGAGAAAGTTTATCCAGGCGAGCTTTAGCGAACCAAGATTCACTTTTGCAGCGAACTGGATAAACATTCTCCATCCCGACAACAATCTTTAAACGTTTCATTTTTACATTTTCCGTGTTTACATGTATTTTTTACTATATGACGCCATCATAGACTAACCATGTGAATTAGTGATGGAGATTAATTTCTTGCATCTCTGACAGAATTATCTACCGTTTACACCCCCACTCCATGTAAGACAATTCGTGTGCTTTAAATGACGTCATTGACGCGCACCTTTTGTGAATGAATCACGTTCTTAGGACGACGTCTTTTTCCGTTATGAATGAGTTATATGTTCATAAGCTACTATAAGAAAAAAAGTGCGTAATGAGAATTTTAGTTTTCATAATTTCTGTTCCGAAAATAATTGACATGTAATATGCAAGAAAAAGAATCAAACGCCGACTATTGGTACAGTAGGGAAAGATAGCTCCCGAGAAACTGTTAAGCGGAAACTCGGCAGAGCCTCGTTACCGCTGTAAACAGTTACCCTCGAGCTAGATATTCCGGTCTGTACCGGTAGCCGGTGTAAGATTCTCGCCTGATAATATAGACAGTTACTGTTGTAGGATAAATTACAATCATGTGCCTTTGTTTATGTGATAATAATTTTCTGTATAGTTTCTGTATAGATCTATGTTTTTAGTAATGCACTATTTGGTATGCTGTTGTTTGGAATGGTATAATGAATATAAAGTAGATCTAGCAAAATGATTATTTTCATATATTTTGTTTTTTCGTGTTTTGTTCTGTAACAAAAATAACACTAACTTAGAATGTACGTACGTTAAACAGCTGAAGCACTTATCCCTTTCTTTTGTTTAATATATATATATGCATAATGTTTCCATAAAATGCACTCATTATGTGCTCTCTCTGCTTCAGCAAAGAATACATCTTTTTTTAAGATTTTGAGCTTTTAGCCGTCCGTTGCTTACAAGTATTTCAAATGGCGCCAGCTCGGAAACTATTTGACCTAATTCAAAAAGCTTTTCCTAGGATAGTCCTTGCATTTAGATCTTCCGCACTTGATAAGATGGTTTAATCCATTTCATATCTATGTCCCAGATTAAGTGGCATTTTGAAAGATTACAATTACAGAAGAGCAAGGTATTTGTTTGTAGCATTTTGTTCAAATCATGCATTGCAGTCGCAGTTTGGTTTTTTTTGGTATTGTCACGTTAACTATTCGTTTTACTCAAAAGCGATGGATTTCAGTTCAGCAATGTACTTTTTGTTACTTTTTCTAGTTTCATTTTTCTGTATATATAGTTCATTATACGAATTTGTATAATTTACAAAGATAAATATTTTGTATTATAATGTATTCCAAACACCCTTATTCTTCAAATATACAATCATCTTTATTAGTCATTATAACCTCAGCGAAGTTTTAATGTGTTTGTATACTGGAATAATCTTGTACGTCCGTCCCACTATCACATAAATCTGATAAAGGTAATTTGCAGTGCCCAAAAACAGTAACTCTTTAATTTTTTAGATTGATTGTTTAATGTACTTTTTATTTAATTTTTGTCCAAAGCATGACTTAAAAAGCATCAGATTTAACTTCATAAAAATATTAATGAACAAATATTTAATGAACAAATATTCTTGAGAAAGAGTGATGTGTTGAAGATACATAACTCTCTATTACATAATGTTGGAGTTACTGACCTTTGCACTTAGTAAATAAAATGATGGTGCGAAACATAACGTGAAAAGTTGCATAAATGAATAGAACGCATTTAAGATATGCACATAAGACACAATACTTTGATATGCAATTGTTACTGCCATGTACTTTTTCATATCTAATTTCGTCCGAAGGTTGTCTGGTGCTAAATTTACAAAGGGTTGAAGTAAAGACCTTAAACCTACATAGATATATTAAACTCAGTTAGGAAATATAATGTATATATTGTATAAAACCATACTCTTTTATACTTGTACATATTTTTGTGATGATAGACCTTGTAATTTGTAATGCTTATTTTTTGTTCGCTGCCATTGGTTAAAGTTGCAATGCACTATATTTCATAAATTTAATTCATTGCTAATTGTAATACATTGTATTTTATATATTACGTTTTGCCACACGTACGCAGATGAAGGTATCTACAAGATACGTCTTGGGAAGATATATTTTATTCACATTTATGCGTACTACTTATTTCATCGCCATTTGTAAATAGTTTATTATTTTGTTTTTGTCTAGAATATAAGCTTAAGTTGATATGATGTATTAAAATAAAACTTTATTATATTATTTTGACAAAACGGTAAACAGGGAATTAGGACAGTGCTTGTCTAGTTTGATATGATAAAAACTATTTGAAAAAAAGTTCATGATATAATGATTTTATTATAAAAGTTAGCTGGATAACGTTGAAAGATTTACAAAAGTTGATAAAATGATAGTAAATAGGTATTTTACTTTTATGTATTTAGTGACTATTGAAAATACTATAAATAGATTTCAGTATTTGAAAATATTAGTATTATGATGTGCCTGCAATATGTAGGCATTATTTAAGAAGGGAAATAACTTTGCAAATGTTCGTACTGTTGCTATATGTGAACATACTGTCAGAACTGAGTTTAGCAATTTATAATATGTTTACAACATATTATCATGATGCTTGTATTAATTTAACTATAAATATAATATAATAGTCCATGATTGAGAAAATAAAAGTGTGAAAATAAATTGATTTTTTAGTTGTTTCTGTGTCATTGTTAGGTAATCTCCCGGTATTAAAGTATTCATCTGTATCTAGCCATCCAGTGTTAGACTCCGCCTTGGGAAATAATCATTATGTGGTACTACCAGTACTAGTTAGTCCAGGAAGTAGATATAACATACTATTGAACTTGTATTTGAGCTCTCAAGATGTAAAGGTGGAGTTCAGATGCAAAATACCAATACTGTAAATATTGATTTATTATAAAGGTACAATTGTATGAAGCAGAACAACATGGGCACATCATAATTAAGGTTGTTTAGATAGAAGAGCCAAATGAAAAAGCACAATAAAGTACTATGAAAGAAAATTCCAAATGATTGAATTATGAAAGTACCTGCGTCTAAAAATATGACAGAATCTGACCCGCTGTGAGTAAAGAGATACTTCAAAGGTGTTTCCTTGAACTGACTTTCCCAGAAAAAAAGTTTTTTAGAACAATCAGAGAAAAGTGTTAAAAAAATATTTCTAACCTAATCCCTAGATGACCTGGAATATATAGCTCTGTCATCAGTTTACAAACATTCCTCAAAGCTGGCACGATTGAGACAATCTTTCCTATAATTCTAGCGATATCACCGCCAGTCAATAAAACGTAATTTTACTGAATAAACATACAATATAACTAAACACTGACTTATCGTCTGCTTAGGAGACTGATAGTTATGGGAGCTGATTTACGCCATGTTTTGTTTTCGCTTCTTTGCCTCCAAAATGCGAAAATACGACATAAGAAGGGCGACAATATGACACGCATGTTTTCGCATTTTAGCATTTTTAGGCGAAGACGCGAAAATACGACATGGCGTTAATCAGCCACCATAGATAGTATTTTCTTGCAAATTACAAATTATATCTAACACTTTTAGAATTTGTGTAGGAATCACAGATCTGACTTTTGCAAATTAAAAGCAAAACCAGTCTGTAAAAGCACTGATGTAACAAATTCAGCCTCTTATTAGTAAATAATGTCTTTTTTTTAAATCCCAGCCATCGTTTAGATATAAAACTTACCTGACCCAATTTTCCCAAATGTTTCCTGAATCAGTAAGCAGAAGTTATATCAAATTTTAACATATATCCGTTTTTATAAAGGTATTCACATGCAACTTTTTAGTCTTCAATTTGTATTGCTCTTTCCAAACATATTTATTTAAACACTGGCTATTTTCATAATATTCAGTTACCGACAGTCGACGATGATATAAGGTACAAAACTAACTTTCAAGACAGAACCTAAACTCACTAATTTTGCCACGACTAAACGTTTTAGTATTATTTTGATTGCATTTTGACTGCAAATTTTGATATTCAAAATATCCGTTTTGTAACAAAATGTCATTTTATAAAGTCTTTATCCTTTAAGTCTTCATAAAAAAATTTAGATATGAATTCTCATCTTTCTAATCACTGCTTGGAAACGCGGCATTTGACTGTTGATCTTGCCTGAACTGCATTGACTGCTTGATTTCAGGTTGTTGTTGTTGTCCGAGTTGCCAATGGAAACTCAAGGTTCACAGAAGGACGAACTATCTCGTATTCTATCTTCCGAGTCAACCATTTATGAAAAGATAATGTATATTATTATTTCTTCACAATGCATAGACTTCGAATGAAGAAAAATCATAGAACCATCGGATATATCAAAAATTTGTTTCATAGAACCCATGGTATCATTGAACCAGAGGTATCATATAACCCGTACATCATAGAACCATCGGATATATCAAAAATTTGTTTCATAGAACCCATGGTATCATTGAACCAGAGGTATCATATAACCCGTACATCATAGAACCATCGGATATATCAAACCTTTTGTTTCATAGAACCCATGGTTTCATTGAACCAGAGATATCATATAACCCGTACATCATAGAACCATCGGATATATCAAACCTTGTGTTTCATAGAACCCATGGTATCATTGAACCAGAGGTATCATATAACCCGTACATCATAGAACCATCGGATATATCAAACCTGTTGTTTCATAGAACCCATGGTATCATTGAACCAGAGGTATTATATAACCCGTACATCATAGAACCATCGGATATATCAAACCTGTTGTTTCATAGAACCCATGGTATAATTGAACCATAGGTATCATATAACCCGTACATCATAGAACCATCGTATATATCATACCTGTTGTTTCATAGAACCCATGGTATCTTTGAACCAGAGGTATCATTTAACCCGTACATCATAGAACCATCGGATATATCAAACCTTTTGTTTCATAGAACCCATGGTATCATTGAACCAGAGGTATCATATAAACTGTACATCATAGAACCATCGGATATTTCAAACCTGTTGTTTCATAGAACCCATGGCATCATTGAACCAGAAGAATCATATAACTCGTACATCATAGAACCATCGGATATATCAAACCTGTTGTTTCATAGAACCCATGGCATCATTGAACAAGAGATATGATACAACTCGTACATCATAGAACCATCGGATATATTAAACCTGTTGTTTCTTAGAACCCATGGTATCATTGAACCAGAGGTATCATATAACCCGTACATCATAGAACCATCGGATATTTCAAACCTGTTATTTCATAGAACCCATGGCATCATTGAACCAGAAGAATCATATAACTCGTACATCATAGAACCATCGGATATATCAAACCTGTTGTTTCATATAACCCATGGCATCATTGAACAAGAGGTATCATATAAACCGTACATCATAGAACCATCGGATATATCAAAAATTTGTTTCATAGAACCCATGGTATCATTGAACCAGAGGTATCATATAACCCGTACATCATAGAACCATCGGATATATCAAAAATTTGTTTCATAGAACCCATGGTATCATTGAACCAGAGGTATCATATAACCCGTACATCATAGAACCATCGGATATTTCAAACCTGTTGTTTCATAGAACCCATGGCATCATTGAACCAGAAGAATCATATAACTCGTACATCATAAAACCATCGGATATATCAAACCTGTTGTTTCATAGAACCCATGGCATCATTGAACAAGAGGTATCATATAAACTGTACATCATAGAACCATCGGATATATCAAACCTGTTGTTTCATAGAACCGATGGTATCATTGAACCAGAGGTATCATATAACCCGTACATCATAGAACCATCGGATATATCAAAAATTTGTTTCATAGAACCCATGGTATCATTGAACCAGAGGTATCATATAACCCGTACATCATAGAACCATCGGATATTTCAAACCTGTTATTTCATAGAACCCATGGCATCATTGAACCAGAAGAATCATATAACTCGTACATCATAGAACCATCGGATATATCAAACCTGTTGTTTTCATATAACCATGGCATCATTGAACAAAGAGGTATCATATAAACCGTACATCATAGAAACCATCGGATATATTCAAAAATTTGTTTCATAGAACCCATGGTATCAAAATTTGAACCAGAGGTATCATATAACCCGTACATCATAGAACCATCGGATATATCAAACCTTTTGTTTCATAGAACCCATGGTATTATTGAACAAGAGGTATCATATAACCCGTACATCATAGAACCATCGGATTTATCAAACCTGTTGTTTCATAGAACTCATGGTATCCTTGAACCAGAGGTTTCATACAACCCGTACATCATAGAACCATCGGATATATCAAACCTGTTGTTTCTTAGAACCCATGGTATCATTGAACCAGAGGTATCATATAACCCGTACATCATAGAACCATCGGATATTTCAAACCTGTTGTTTCATAGAACCCATGGCATCATTGAACCAGAGGTATCATATAACTCGTACATCATAGAACCATCGGATATATCAAAACTGTTGTTTCATAGAACCCATGGCATTATTGAACCAGAGGTATCATATAACCCGTACATCATAGAACCGTCGGATATATCAAACCTGTTGTTTCATAGAACCCATTTTCTATAATTTAAATCAATTTTTAACATAATGTCATTACTTAAATCCATAATAGACAGATAATTTTCATTTTATTTTATAAGCTTTATAAGATATATTGATAATTATCATTTTATTTTATAAGCTTTATAAGATATATTGATAATTTACATTTTATTTTATCAGCTTTATAAGATATATTGATAAATAGCGATGTTCCTTTGTTATTATCTCCCTTTTTACAGTTTCAACATGTGTTCAATGTATGTATCTCCGTGAATAATAAAAAAATTTATAATAATATTAATAATAATAAATATATAGATAATTATACCATCGACAATAATTAATATATACTAGCAGATTTGAAAACATATATATTTATTATAATACTAATAACAAATAATAATAATTATATTTATAAATGATATATTAATTTCTTAGAAAACCTTCTGGCAAATAGGGGATCAATAAATAAATAACCCTCTTGCAGCGTTTAATTTTAGAGGAAGTTTTTAAATGTTTTAAAAAGTAAATTACTTTCACGTAAACAAAAATGCAAACCGCACATAAAAATTTTTAAAACCAAATACAAAAAAGAATAGTTCGAAACATGAATGCAAAAAAGCAGCCACCACTAGATGCGTAGTCACACATTAGATGTATGGTGATAAATATTGTAAAATCAGTCATTAACTGCATATGACATGTAAAGTATTTCTTGAATTGTGACATGGTGAATATTTTTTTTATTTTTTTCTGGAAATTTTTGTACATTTTTACTAGGTTTATTTTCTTGAAATAGTTTTGCTCATCTGGAGGCTTTAAACTGTGATGAAAGAAGGGATATTAAACATCTACGTGTATGATGTATGGTTTCAAACAAGTCATCTATCTGTTACATACTTATCGTTTTTACATTGTAACAATCGAATGTGCCAGTATGTTTGCAAGAGCTATCT